GACCGTACAAACTAAACTTGTTATTCCTGTTTGGTCCCAGCATCTGTTAAACATCTTCATTATGCTGTATGCTAGTTTGCTGCTCACCCTCTACCTATATGTATGGACTGGTAACTTCCATTTCGTTGTATCTGAGGAAGTGTGCGTGCACACGCAAGCTTGTACTTTGTCGGTCTTACAGGTGCCACTGGACTTGAATGTTGTCCTCCTCCATAAGGTTGCCAGCTGAATGTTGACAACCAGTGGGGAGCCTTTGCCAGGCGGGGAAGTAAAACTGCATGTTGATGTGTGACATCACAACATCACTTCCTGTTTGTCCCAGAAGTGATGTCATGACGCTCTAGGAATTCACTAATTTCTGTGGTTTTTTTACTATAGAATCCAAATTCCTAGAGCTCTGTGGCATTGTTTCTGTGTGAGAACAGGAAGTGATACATGATGTCACTCCCTTCCCCTAGCTTCCACCAGAGCAAAGAAGCTTGGCAGGACCTTGAGACCAGGGGCGGGAACTTGCCTGTAGCCCCTGGGAGGATGACAACCATTCATGGCAGCAGATATTCCCCTGCTGTTTAGGAGGACACATTCAACATGTTCGGCAGTTGAAATTACCACTTTGAGCTGTGTTGCTGAGACATGAGCTAAGGATGCCAGCCTCCAGGTGAGGCCTGGAGATCTCCTGGAATTACAGCTCATCTCCAGACTTCTTTCCACTGAAGGAAGTGGACACTTTGGAGGCTGGACTCTATGGCTTTGTACCCCACAGAGGTTCCTGTGCTCCCCAGGATCCATCCTCAAATCTCCAGGAGTTTCCCAACCTGGACCTGGCAACCTTCCCTCCCTCCCCCTCCGGTGGCCATGGGGATCCCAGCAATTCTAGACAGGAGCTGATCACCCAGTTTGGGTTTTTTTGCAAAATCATGCATTTGCGATAGCACTCGATCCAAATAGACTGGTAGCCGTTCGCTGTTAAGACAAATACCAAATAGGGTTGCTGTTTGGGTTTTTTTACAACACAGTGTTTGTTTATGGATAATCTGTTTGTTCTCTAACTGATGTAATTGTCTGTTTAAATGATTGCCTGCTAAGTGAAGCAGTGGCACAGTAGGGGGAGCACCCTGCGAAAAGCCTATTGCATTGTACTGCATTGTTTAAGAAGGAAGACAGTGAAGCAAACTGCTGAACTGCCGTGAACAGGTCCAAGTCCAGCCGAACTGATCAATGAACCATTTGTTCCTTGTTTGCGGCTGGCAAACAGGAAGTGAGTCAAACCAGTGAGTGTTCAAGCATGTTGCTGCAGAGGGGCAGAGAGAGTAAAGAAATGGTGTTGGGCAAATCTTCAGATGTGATCATTTATTGGAACTAAGGAAAATGGCTGAATTTTTGTTGAATTACTAGATACAAACCCCTAGGGATGCCAGCGTCCAGGTGGGGTCTGGGGATCTAGAGGAATTACAGCTCATCTCCAGACTACAGAGATCAGCTCCCCTGGAGAAAATGGATGCTTTGGAGGGTGGATTCTCTGGCATTGTACCCCACTGAGGTCCCTGTCCTCCTCAGGCTCCACTCCCAAATTTTCAGGAGTTTCCCAACCTGGAGTTGGCAACCTTACACCCCCCCATCTCCAGCTGGACCCTCCCCCCAAAAGATCAACAGTAGCAAGGATTTTCACCTCAGTCTTCTGGATAGTGAAATCAATCAATCAATGAATTTTTGTTCAAACCACATACAACTGACACACTTAAAGCTGCCTTATACTGAATCAGCCCATTGGTCTGTCAAGGTCAGTATTGTCTACTCAGACTGGCAGCGGCTCTCCAAGGTCACAGGCAGAGGTCTTTCACACGAGAGCCAGTTTGGTGAAGTGGTTAGGAGTGGCAGACTCTAATCTGGAAAACCGAGTTTGATTCCCCACTCCTCCGCATGCAGCCAGCTGGGTGACCTTGGGTCAGTGACAAGTTCTCTGAGAGCTTTTCTCTCAGAGCTCTCTCAGCCCCACCTACCTCACAGGGTGTCTTTTCCGGGGAGAGAAAGGGAAGGAGATTGTAAGCCACTCTGAGATACTAATTGAAGGCTGGGGTACAAATCTAACTCTTCTTCATCACCTACATGCCTATTTCTACCGGAGGCGCTGAGGAATTGAACCTGGGGCCTTCTGCATACCAAGCAGGTGCTCTACCACTGAGCCACAGCCTCTTCTCTTATCAAGCACCAGTTGGTTGGCGCAAGTATTCAACATTTTAAAACTAGTACTCTAAACCCAAGACTGGGTAATTCCTGGATATTTGGGGGTGGAGCCTGGGGAGGGTCAAGGTTCTGGAGGGGGAGGGACCTCAGCAGGGTGTAGTGCCATGCAGCCCACCCTCCAAAGCAGCCATTTTCTCCAGGAGGAACTCAATCTGTGTCATCTGGAGCTCATTTGTAATTCCAGGGGACCTCCAGGCCCCACCTGGAGATTGGCAACCCTGCCAGTCCATCTTGGAGCACACTGAGCGAATCTGGGCCAGTTCTTCTCCACCTGACTTCCCTCACATCCTTGTTAAAAAGGTAAAGGTTCCCTTGCTCGAAAGCCAGTCGAGTCCGGCTCTAGGGTTGCGGTGCTCATCTCCGCTTCAAAGCCGAAAGAAAGCAGTGTATAAGTATCTAGACAAATAAATCATGCGATTGGCTAACTGGTAGGGATGCCAACCTCCTAGAATTGCAGTTTGTCTCCAGACTACAGAGATCAGTTCCCCTGGAGACAATGGATGCTTTGGAGGGCAGACTCTGTGGCATTGTACCCCACTGAGGTACCTCCCCAAGTTCCATCCCCAAATATCCAGGAGTTTCCCAACTGGGATCTAGCAACTGTTAAGTCGCTCGCTTAACAAAGCAGTCGGAGAGTGATTCAGCAAGAACACAACTTTATTCTTCCACTCGAACACAACTCCAACACGGATCAACATCTGATAGCCAGAACAGCCTTTACATTGCAGCTGTCCTGCTTTTAAACATTCCCGGCTAATGTAGCCACACCCACTGTACAATTATCAACCTATGAGGTTGCAGAGATAAGGTCCAATCACATTAGTTCCCGCTTAGGGAGCTTGCTTGAAGTGATTGGCCGGTTACTTCCTGGGCTAGCAATTCTATTGGACGGATTTGGGTCCTAGCCCAGGACGAAGCTCAATATTACAGTTCGGTTAGATGTTTCACCACATGTCATGCATTCAAGGCAGCTTTGAATACACTACAGCAACCCTACCCCGCCATCCCCTGCTGGTCGCCAGGGGGGAGCTGGCAAACCTACGAACTGGTCAGCTGAGCCCGGCCACACATCTGGATGCATCTTGTTTGTGGCTGTTTGGCCTGCCTCCAAACCTTTCAGCAGTCACAGAGGAGCTGAAGTAAGGAAAAGATAGCCAAAGTGATAACTCCCATTGAAGGAAAGCACGAGGGTGGTCGCTGCTTGATACGACTGTGCTGTTGAGTTTGTACTGCCCCCAGGTAGGCCTGTAGAGATAGCGGCCACTAAACATCTGGATTAAGTGAATGAACGCCAGTGCCTTACCAGAGCTAAGGTATCTCTAAGCAGCTTTTTTTTAAAAAAAGTTTATTTTGAATTTTTTAAAGGAATACAGAATAAGGAAAAGGGGGTAAGGGAAAAGAATAAAGGTAAAATTACCAAAACATAGTATATAAAGGGCATTTTTTGCAAATATGAAGAAGAAGAAGAGGAGGAGGAGGAGATTGGATTTATACCACGCCCTTCACTACCTGAAGGAGTCTCAGAGTGGTTTACAAACGCCTTTCCCTTCCCCTCCCCACAACAGACACCCTGTGAGATGGGTGGGGCTGAGAGAACTCTGACACAAACTGCTCTTTTTCAAGGACAGAGGGGGTAAGGGGAAAGAATAAAGGTAAAATTACCAAAACATAGTATATAAAGGGCATTTTTTCAAAAATTTAGGACAATCCTCGATTCCAGTACTTGAATTTTTAGGAAAACTATATGATGTAATAAGTTTAAAAACCGCTATGACGACCTACTCAACATTATACCCTTTTCTCATAATATATTAACATTTTTATCCGCCTTGATTCCAATACTTTTAAAGAAAACTATATGACGTAATAAGTTTAAAAACCACTATGACGACCTACTCAACATTCTACCCTTTTCTCATAATAATATTAACATTTTTATCCTGTCTTATCAGTTATATGATAAACCATGAATAACCTCATAGAAATTTGTATGTAATTTCAACATAGCAGTTTGCTGTGATAAGAATCTTATGGAGGAAAACCGCTTTACTATTTCATAGTAATCACAGAAAACTCGCCAGTTATTTTCAGGTTCGTCTTTCGGTCTCCGATTAATGAAGTTTGTCAGTTTTTATTTATTTATTTATTTTTGGCCATAACAGCTTTGCATTTTATCTACCTAATTCTCAAGAGTTGGGCAATCTTCGATTTTCCACTATGCTGCAATTACTACTCTTGCTGCAGTTAACGTATATCTAAGCAATTCCTGTGTAGTTCTGTCTGTGTTCATCCGAGTGGCTTTTTGAAAGGAAGGGGAGATGTTCATTGGTGGCGTGAGCAACCTCTCAATCAACGCCCTGATTCTTCAAACAATGCTAGCCCCCATTACAGACTGGAATGATCGTGACGGAAGTTCCAGTTACCGCAAGTGGCGGACGGGGTGGTGGGCAGAGACCTCACAAAAGAAACAAGGAAGGCTTGCTTAGGTACACATCTTGGCCAATGTCTGTACACATCTTGGGCAAAACTCATGGAACTGATAGGGCAGTCAGCGCCGTGTGACCATGCCCCAATTAGCATCCCTTCCCAGAAATTAGAACAGGCTCTTGGATTGAGCTGAGATCTTTCTCTGCCTGCTCGGTCGCTGTAATCTCCTTGGGAAAGCTTCCTTCTCTAGAGAGTGGGACAATGTCGGATCACGGAGGTAGCCTTCACGCCCCTTTTCTCCCTTCCCCTTTCAGGAGCAGCCGGCCAACATGTCCGTCAAAAAGGAAGGGGCCCAGAAGAAATGGGTCGCCCTGAAGGAGAAGCTGGGGCCCCAGGACTCGGACCAGACGGAGGCCAACTTGGAAAACGCCGAGCCGGAGCTCTGCATCCGCCTCCTGCAGATCCCTTCCGTGGTGAACTATTCCGGTCTCAAGAAGAGACTGGAGAGCAGCGATGACAACTGGATGGTCCAGTTCCTGGAGCTCTGCGGACTGGACCTCCTGCTGGAAGCCCTGGACAGGCTGTCCGGGAGGGGCGTCTCCAGGATCTCCGATGCGCTGCTGCAGCTGACGTGCATCAACTGCGTGCGGGCGGTCATGAACTCCCAGCAAGGCATCGAGTACATTGTGAGCAACGAGGGCTATGTCAGGAAACTCTCCCAAGGTGAGAACGGGGGGGGATTCTTCTCATTCTCTGCATGTGCCCTGAAGTTGCAAATTTTGCGTAATTTCTGTAATCCTTCCTAGCCTCTAGCATCAGTGGGGCTATTGGGGGCTCTGCCCCCTTTCTTAAAGGGTCTGCCCCCACATGATTTCCTTCTGAAAATGGATTTTTAATTATTTTTAAACATCACCGGTAATTAAGACCATTTTTGTTCATTGTCTTTTTCTCTGTATGGTTTGGAATGGTTTAGGGCACAGTATCCTATAGTTTTGCTATAGAACAGAAGATACACACAGGCCCCGGTCACACAGGCCGGATATCGCGGGGGGGAGGCGTGGCTGTTTGCCCCGGAGCGAACTACCACACGGCAGCCGGATCAAACGTCCCGCCCGACGTCCTGTGGTTGGGGGGAGGTGCCGATCATACCTGCAAAGAAGCGGCGCCGCGGGGGTTGTTTTTTTTAACCCAAGTGTTTGCGTGCGCCGTTGGGTGCTTGTGTGCACCCGTGGAGACTTGACAAAAAAAGCCACTTTTCGCGACGGGACATGGGCGGGTGCCGGATGCCACGAGCTGACACCGGAAACGTGATCTGACTCCCGCCCTTGTCCCGCGGTTTCCGGAAACTAGTACCTCGGAGGTTCTAGTTTTTTACAGCGCATCTTCAGAGTGAAGCCTCGGGTGAGCCACGGGAGCTCTACGCTTCCCAGATGTAGCGGTGAGATCGCGCCCGGAAAATCTGCCTATCTTCCGTCTCTCTAGCGTGCCTAATGCTCCATGTGACCGGGGCCACAGTGTATCTGAAGCAACAGTAGGTAGCTTCTGGTTCCTAGTCTGTAGCCCCACCAGAAAATCTTTTGCCCCAACAATCCACAAAATCCTGGCTGTGGGGCTGAATTCTTCCCAAGTTGCAATCCCATTCACACTTGCCGGGAGGGCGGGGTAACAATCTAATTGATAAATAAAAATAAGTGCCATCAAGCCGCAACAGACTTATGGCAACCCCAGCAAGAGGCTTTCAAGGCAAGTAAGAGGCAGAGGTGGTCGGCCATGGCCTTCCTCTGCAGAGTCCTCCTCGGCGGTCTCCCATCCAAGTACAGACCCTGCTTGGCTTCCAAGATCTGACGAGATCGGGCTATACCGCGTGGACTTCCTCCCATATTGGCATCTGTGTGTGTGTAGGGTGCCGTCAAGTTGCATCCAACTTACGATGACCCCAGCAAGGGGCTTCTTTCAGAGCAAGTGAGAAGCAGAGGTGGTTGGCCACTGCCTTCCTCGGCAGAGTAGAGTCGGTACTTGGTTGGGACCCTGGCAGTCCCCCATCCAAGTACCGACCCTGCTTAGCTTCCCAGATGGGACAAGATCGGGCTACGCCATGCCACCTTCCCTCGCCATTCACACTTAAAAGGTAAAGGTACCCTTGCTCGAAAGCCAGTCGAGTCCGACTCTAGGGTTGCGGTGCTCATCTCCGTTTCAAAGCCGAAGAGCCAGCGCTGTCCGAAGACGTTTCCGTGGTCATGTGGCCGGCATGACTAAACACCAAGGCGCACGGAACGCTGTTACCTTCCCACTGAAGTGGTACCTATTTATCTACTTGCAATTTCTTGCTTTCGAACTGCTAGGTTGGCAGGAGCTGGAACTAGAGATGGGAGCTCACTCCATCATGCGGCGCACTCAGGTCTCGAACTGCTGAACTACCGACCTTTCACAGCCTGCAGTTCAGTGTCTTAACCACTTGAGCCACCGCAGCTCCTCATTCACACTTACTAGGAAGTAATTCCCTGCCCCAACCTGGATAGCCCAGGCTAGGCTGATCTCGTCAGATCTCAAAAGCTAAGCAGGGTTGGCTCTGGTCAGTATTTGGATGGGAGGACTCCAAGGAAGACCAGGGTTGTGACGCGGAGGCAGGCCATGGCAAACCACCTCTGGACGTCTCTTGCCTTGGAAACCCCACCAGAGCTCACCATAAGTCAGCTGCGACTTGGCGGCACTTTCTACCGCCATCAGTTCCCTTTTAAATCAATGGGACTTTGGAGTAAACATAGGCCCCTGCCACATGGGGGGGAAAGCACGGCCAAAGTGCAGCTTTTTAGAGCTGCAGCAAAAGAGACACGCAGCGGCAGGATCAGACAGATCCCCTGAGCCGCCACGCAGTTGCTCCTCAGCACGATTGGATGCTGGGGGGGAGACACTCTGAGCCGCCACGCAGTTGCTCCTCAGCACGATTGGATGCTGGGGGGGAGCCACTGAAGGGAGAACGAGGCAGCCGGCTGCGCATGTGTGTGCATGCGCAGTTCAGCCAGGAACCTCGAATGCTCCTGAAGACGGGCGCGCCGGCGATCCCACGGCCACGCTTGCTGCGGCGTTCCAGGAAAGTCCTGCTCTTTGTAGGTTCTTTTTTAATGCACATTTTCAGCCTGAAAGGGCCGGATCGGGGACGGGTGCGTGCCGCTTCACAGATGTTGCGGTGTGATCACGCCCGTTTGCTGCGCCCCCGATCCGTCCCTCTTCCGGGCCTAAACCTCCCGTGTGACCGGGGCCATATTAGGCGTCCAGCTACAATACTGCAGCTTGAAGGATTACTGTCTTGTAAGGAAGTCCCTTTAAAATCAGTGGTACTTACTTAGTATCATAGAATCATAGAGCTGGAAGGGGGGCCATACAGACCATCCAGTCCAACCCCCTGCCCAGTGCAGGACCAGCCTGAAGCATCCCTGACAAATATTCGTCCAGCCTCTTCTTGAAAGCTGCCAGTGAAGGGGAGCTCACCACCTCCCTAGGCAGCCGGTTCCACCCCTGAACCACTCTGACCATGAAAAAGTTCTTCCTAATATCCAGCCAATACCTTTCTGCATGTCATTTAAACCCGTTGCTTCGGGTCCTCTCCTCTGCTGCCAACTGGAACAGCTCCTTTCGTTGTTGCTGTTCAGTCGCACAGTCGAGTCCGACTCTTCGCAGCCCCATGGACCAGATCAGGCCTTCCGGTCTTCCGGTGTCCTCTGAAGTTTGCTCAATTTCATGTTCGTTGCATCTATGACACTGTCTAACCATCTCATCCTTTGCCGTCCCCGTCTTCTTTGACCTTCAGCTCCTTGCCCTCCTCCAAATGACAATATTTGAAAGGCTTTTAAAATATTTTAAATATTCTGTCAGCCTGTTTAAAACAAGCCTATAAATAGGCTCAGTGGTTTGCAAACTTTACTTTAATTCACACTCGTGCCAAGATACTTTCAGGTGGGTAGCTGTGTCGATCTGAAGAGCAGGATTCGAGTCCCGTCGCACCTTAGGGACCCACAAGATTTCCAGGGCAGAAGCTTTCGAGAGTCAATTTTCTTGTCTCTCTGACAAAGGGAACGTTGACTCTTGAAAACGTATATCCCCAGAATTGTGTTGGTCTTTAAAGTGCTCCTGGACTCAAACCGAGGTACTTTGATATTGGCTTTGGGTCTACTGGAGTGTTTTTGCTGGCAGAACAAATTTCCACCTTGACGGCATTACTTTCTCACCACCACCACCTGCCTACTGTTGCAACCCCTACTACTCCCAAATGTTGCTCTTAGGGGAAAGTGGGCCTCTGGGTATTTCAGGGGGCATTTGGGACCTCAGCAGATTGGGGAGGCGAAAAATTCTCAGTCTGTAGGCGGAAATCCTTATGTTTACACACGGACTCCATTGGATCCGAGCTATTCCCCCCATTTTACAGGATTTTGCAGCAACTTGCCTTGAAGACATTGAGCAAATCTTTGCCTCAGCTGGGATTTGAAGTGCCTGAGTACAAATTTAGAGTTCTTTTTTTTTTTAATAATCTATTTATTACTTTTTTAGACAAACAAACACACACTGGGATATACAGATACTTAAGTACATTGTACATTGTAGCATTCCAATCTGGGTTAATAACTCAATTCATTTCCATTATCCTTTCTCCATCCAGTAAATTAAAGCACATATTACAAGGTTTTATACATTACTTTAACAACAAATTTTATAGTAGATTTAAATTACAATTCCTTTAGTATCAATAATGTTACTAACAAACCGGCTTCACCTTAATAAAGCCATTCTAATTGCTTAAGTAATTTAAGTAATTTTTCATTCCCTGTTTAAGCTGCTTTAAAGATAACAATTTATATTTATTTATATCCACCATTAAAACATTTTGTCAGCTTTTTACTTTTTGATATGCCTTCCCACACATTTTCACCTTCTCTTAAGCCATCTATAAGTTATCGGGAACCACACACTTAACTTACATGATTGATGTTTCATTTCTTACTGCTAGGTCAAATTCATTTTGTATTTTGTATTTAGTGTTCTGTACAAATTCCAGTTGGGTCACCGTGTTAGTCTGTTGGAGCCAAGAAACAAAAAAATGGAGTCTTGCAGCATGACTGCATATGCTTCAATCCATCTGTTAGACTTTAAGGAGTAACAAGTGTTGGAAGTGAAGGACTTTATGCTGCCTCTTAGCCTCATACTTTGGGGGGGGGGGGTCTATAAGAGAGTCAGAAAAATAAAGAGACCACTGTTCTGTCCTTCCCTTCTACTGCTCTGATACTATCCCTTTGATGTGTAGATTGCTGCTCTCAGGAAATCTTCCTTCCAGCCTGACACTTTCTCTCCACACTGTGCCTGACCTTCTCCGTCTTGGCACCATGAGTGCAGGACCTGCTTCCTGCATCTCTATCCATCCTAGCTAGTTAGACTAGGATCGATGTCACACTGAATACAGTGCTCTCTGGGGAACATGTGAGGAAAGGCGGCCCCTCAGGTATGCCGTACCCTGTCCATGTAAGCTGCTTTGGTCCGCACTGCAGAGAAAGACTGTACTTTTCCTCCTGGGGAACCATTGGTGCCAATCTCCAGGTTCCCTGGAGAATTTTTCTAAAATAAAGGAATGGATTATAGGCAAGACGTTGTGCATTTGGCCTCAGTGCGCTTAAAGAAGGCTGCAGGACTTCTCATTACCTTGCAAAGTTTCACTCACCAGCTATTACCTGTAG